GGTGCAGCCGTTGTGGCTGACATCTCTTGGCAGTGGGAAATCCCACAGTCCAATTGTGTTGGCCCTGAAACTAGCATATTCCTAGAGTTCTGCCGAAGCTCTGGACCCTCTCTGATTTACTGTTTTCCTCTTCAAGGATTACATGGCAGCATAAGCAAATAACAGATTCTGCAAAGGAATTTCTAGCACCCACACTCAATTCTTAGGCAGCAATAGATATATACTGTGCTAAGAAACAAAAAACAGAACCTATGCTCTAAATCTTTGCCTCAGTTTCCCTTCCAAGAACCCTTTGGGATTTGGACAGTGTATTTTCAGGGTCTTAAGACCCACCTCTCTTCCTTCTTCTCTTACCTGCTTCTGTTCATTTTTCTCTAAAATGGTTGTTGAGAGAGTCCACTTTTTATAAAGTTGCTGTCCCCTTTCTCGGGTGACCAATCTGAGCTGCTTGCAGTCCCTCATTAAACGATCCACTGCTTGGTACAAGGCCACCTGGGAGAAAGGGTTTCTCTGGATGGTACTTAACTCATTGTCTATCGATGCTTCTATTTGAATAGGAGACTCTCAAGGTTAATGACCTTTAGTTGCACTGTTCACCCTCTGTCAATACTTCAAGATATCCCAGTCCAAGATGGAGGTAAAAAGGAAGGCCTAGTACAATTGTACAATCAAAATGGCACTCTCCAAACAAAGTGGAGTTTATAGTCTCATACAGACACAGACATATACTAAATCATCCTATATGCTAATGTCCCCACATGGAGAGAGAGTACAGTGGAAGCATAGGGGAGGGTGATCAAGCCAGTTGCTTATAGAACTATCCTACCAAGGTGGAGCAGGGACATCAAGAGGAGTGGAGAGAGACAGTTTGCCACAAAGTGGGTTCTTCCTTTTCCCACTGATCTCAGTCATTCATGGAATCAGAAGGCCATACTCCTTGTATCCTCGATGGCTTCCCAAACTACTCTAACCTCGAAGAAGCAGCCTGGCTTTTTGTTCCATATCCACACATTTTACTTCAGGAAAGTAAACTATCACCCCTGACATATGTCAAAGGAATTTCTAGGTAATGAATGAATAAGAACCACTGTAGGCTTTCACAGTTTTATAAAAAGTTCTATTATTTAACAGAGTATTTTTAGCTTTTAGAGACAGACCTTCTCATGTTTTTATTTATGACAAGGTTTTAATATACTTGTGATTTAATATATCTTCTCCTTATGGGATTCATTAGCAATTTAACTCAACACATAGCCGTACATGCTGAGCAGATCAGAAAACAGAAATTAGAAATATTGTTTGCCTAAGAAAATAATCTAGACGAATGAAGAAAGATGAACGAAAACTGTTCTACCACATCAAAGAGTGAAAACACTATCAGAGACAGGCTACTTAAATTTTACATAAATGTCTAAAATCGCTGTAAAAGCTGAACAGCAGATATGATGAAATGTTTCTATCCTAATCAGTTAATTCTACACTCCTGCTAAAATGACCATTTTTCTTAGGTTGGGTATTTCACTTGCTTTTTTCTCTCCAATAAATTACAGATATTACTTTCCACTAGTTACTAACCAGAATTTAGAAGTTTCAAGCACTGTTTAAATGCTTGCAAAATTATTTTTAAAATTGTTTAAAACATGACTTTTATAAACAATTTGAATCTCGGTTTTCTATAACTGCCTATTTGGGATGATTTCTATGTTCTATAACTGCCAGTGTGTGTGTGGATGATTTCTGTGTTCTGCTAATTAATTAATTGATGCTACTGAGCATCATGATTTCAAAAAATTTCTATTCAAGGACAAATTTTGAAGTAGCCTCAGGAAATGGGTGTACAAAATGTAAGACTATTTGAAATTTGGCCTTTTATTAAGAAGGCTTAGAGAGGATTTCTATATTATATAAGGAATAATATATACAAGCTACCCCCAAATCACAGGTGGGTTGCAAAGTATGAGACTGAAAGACAAGTGCTTCCAATTAGCTCAGAATTAATCCCATTTATACAGGGACAAATTAAAGCTAAGCAGAGCACAGATCCAGAAAAATACCACCAGTCACAGACTCTCCCAGTTCCACTCAATGTTTCTTTCTTCTGTTGCCGAGATCATGGTCTTATTCATCAAAGAATCAACCCATGCAGTCTATCCCAGTTAAATGGCCAGTCAAAGCAAACTGTGCTGTCCCAATACCTCCTGATCTGATTCTGACTCAGACTCTAGATCCCCAAGGATTTTGTCTTAATGGATGTCTGCATTTATACAGTACCTTTTGTCCTAAACAGTTTGCTATCACCCCACTACTCATCCCCACACACACATACCCTCATCCCACTCTCTGGCAAACACACACATACATAACTTTAAAGATAACCATATGCATAAATATTTACAAGTTTGGGGTCTATATGTGCATACAAGAATAGCTTCCCCCCCCCAACCAAACTGTAGCCAAATATGGAGTTAGGATTACTATAAATTGTCTAGATCTTTTTTTACATTACATTGTTGGGAGCTTTCCTTTATATGTAATCCAAAAGATGGCCCTCCCATCCAACAACCTCTAACATGATACTGGGCAGCTAGACCAGTCAGTCTCAGAGAAAAAAGTGGGACTTACATAAATGCTGGCATCACTTCCTACTTCACTCTAGGTTTTCCTTGGAAGTCCCCCTGTAGCAGTGTGGCAGGAGCAGAGCGTCCTTGTGGAACTTCTGGGCAGCCTGTTGTCAACACAGTTCTCCCTGGGTGGGAAGAATTCTCTATTTCTAATGTCCACTGAGGTGGGCTCCGCCCCAACAGCTAATTGCCCCTTCAGTATTATCTCCTTGTGGAAGTGCCTGAGGGGAGTGGCTGCTGCAAAAATGTTCTACAACAGCATTTCTCAAACTGGGGCCCACAGTATTCCAGGGGGTCCACGGGCCCCGCTGATCAACTCCTCCCCTCCTCCCTCAACTCCTCCCCCTCCTTCCCAGTGCTTCCTTCACACCAGGGGGCCATTGGTCTCACTGATCAACTCCTCCCCCTCCCTCCCAGAGCCTCCTGCATGCCGGGGAACAGCTGTTCAGCGGCATGCTGGAGGCGCTGGGAGGAAGGGGGAGGAGCAGTGATGTGCTCAGGGGAGGGGACAGGGAATAGGTGGGACAGGGGTGGGGCCTTGGGGGAAGGGGTTGAGTTGGGGTGGGGGCGGGGGTTGAGCGGGGGGTTGGAGGTCTCTGAAAAATTTTAAATCAAAATGGAGGTCCTCAGGTTGCTAAAGTTTGAGAACCGCTGTTCTACAACAAAAAGCAAATGTAACTCAGTACTAGGCCATCCCCCTGTCTTCCGGGGGCCTCTCTACACAACTCTGCATGCAAAGTTCCCTTCCTTTCAAAATTCCTTCTGTTCCTAAACAGTTTGCAAGCAAAGTTCCTTTCAGGCAGAGAGGTAGAGCTCCTTCCTAGCCAGAACGGAACAGGTTCTCTCTTTTTATTTTCCTTCAAGGCTTGGCATTGGCTGCAGGTATAGCGAAGCAGGGCTAGCACAGAGCAAGGGCTCTCATTAACCCCTTCTCTGCTGGTATAGGGCCTCTCTGCCTCATCACTCTCCCACACAAGAATTGACTATGGCTCATCCTGTTTAGCTTAAGAGATCACAGCCCTAGCTAGTACTCATATTGGACTCTTATGGCTTGTCAACACAAACAACTAGATTGTGGTGATCTGGGGTGTGAATCTACTCTGCACTTGTCTGCCAGGATCTAATGGCCATTGTGCACTCTGCTGCCACACACTAACAGTTCATTAGAATGCTTTGATCTAGCCCTTTTGAAACAGGACTAGCTCAAAGAGTGTTCATACATAAGAACATAAGGGCATGATAGTGCCCTTCTGCTCTATCTTACCAGTTAACACCTGAGTATTAAAAAAGATTGTTTCTATATAGCTGTGGCCTATGCACAACTAAAGGAAGAGAAGAACTGGCAATAGGAAATATCATACGGAATGAAGGAAAGAGACAGAAGAGAAAGAAAACTGCATAACTTCACTTAGTAAACAATGGTAGAGTAACGAGGTTGTCTTTTTTTAAGCAATCATAATTATTTTGTTTTAGGGGACCTACCCACAAGATATTTATTTAGCAAAATTAATATACTCAAGTTTATAGTTATCCATCTCCCTCATGACCCGTGAGACTGTTTATGTCCGAAACATTGTTCTCACTTTTCAAAAAAAACCTTTAAAGTGTTTTCTTGCTGCTATATCAAAGTTTTCGGGGTCCTGACTTTCCAAAACTGGCTTTTACCACTATGTAGCATGAAGGATCAGCAGTGTTCCCTACTGAGTAGCCATTTTTGTCAGAATGGTAGCCTGATTCTGTTTCTTTAACCAGTGACTTTTTTTTTTATGAGGCTAGGTGGTTAGCTGTGTTATCAATCCTCCCAACTTTATCCAGGCTTGGGACCAACAGCCACATCAAAGTGCAGAAGCAGCAGCAAATAAGAGAGGACTGGAAGAGACTAGTTTCCGCCCTGCGTGCCAACACTGGCACAAGATAGATATAATTATAATAATAATAAAAATGACTATATTTTATATATGCAGTGTAGTTGTTTCCGTGTTGGTCCCAGGATATCAGAGAAATAAGATGGGTGAGGTAATATCTTCTGTTGGTGAGAGAGCTTCTCTGTTGGTCAAATAAAAGATATTACCTCACCCACCTTGTCGCTCATATTTTATATAGACATGCACATACATGTACACATACACAGAACTATGTATAAAAAGAATGTAAGTAGAATAAACTAGAAACATAATTAATTACATGTACAAAAGCAGCTAATGAGACGAATCAAAGTACATAATGAAAGTTAGCAGCTAGGAGAAAATGCATCAGGGGTTGCCAGAATGAAACAGAAAATATATTCCATCTAGAGCTAAATGCTTATGGCATTGTTGTATGTATACATTTACTGAGGCAGCACTGACGCAAAGCTTCAGCAACACAGTCTGCAATAACTGTAGTCAAAATTTTAATTGCACTCTGGCTATTTGGTATATTAGCAGCCATAAAAACCCTATTATTTTTGTCGCACTGAATAATTTAGTTTTCAGAGTAAGTACAGATGATAACTGTATGCACACTTGTAGTCCTCGCCATTTAAAAGTAAACATTTACCACCAATTACCACACAATGCAATCTGAAATATCACAGTCACTTCTAAGGTTAGGAAAATACAGAGCTATATCATACACTAGAGTGTGGTATCTAATAGTAAATGTTGATTTTTTTAAAATAAGACCAGGGTTGAAAGTACACTTAACATTACACTTTTATACATTCTAGAAGTAAACATACATAACTGTCTCTCTTCATTATGTTTTTTTCTTAAATGAAGGCCTGGAAGTTCAGTTTAAATGATGAGAGTATAGACTTCCACATTTAGCATTCAAATAAAAAGACACAGTTTGGTTTATATTCACTTACAATGTTGCAAGTTAGCATCTTAAACACTGGAGTTTATTATACATGTTTTATTGCACTGCAGCTTAATGGCAGCCTGATCATAATTTTCATATCGGCTTGATGATCCTTTACAGCTGCAACTTTTGCCTTGGCTTGTTGTAATCTCTCACTAGTCTTTTGAGAAACAATGGAATCCAGAACCACTTTTTCTGCCAAGTTTTCTTTTCGTAACATCAATTGCCTGGAGAAAAATAAAGGAAGAGACTTATTCATACAACTTGCAGCCATGGTTTACCATTCACAGATCAGCTGAGCAAATTTCCTGATAAAAGTCTTGTCTCTAAAACTTAGACTCTTTCATACGTATATGCTCTTGGCTTCTTCTTTATATTTTACAACTGTGTCTAGCGTCTTTGTTCTCCAATTAAGCTAGATTAATTAAATTCATTTTAATGAAAATTTCTGCTAGATTTCAAATTTGACATACTACACCAGTGATTCTCAACCTGGGGGTTGGGACTCCTCAGGGGGTTGCAAAGTTATTACATGGGGGGTCGCGAGCTGTCAGCCTCCACCCCGAACTCTGCTTTGCCTCCAGCATTTATAATGGTGTTAAATATATTAAAAAGTGTCTTTAATTTATAACAGGGGTCACACTCAGAGGCTTACTATGTGAAAGGGGTCACCTGTACAAAAGTTTGAGGACCACTGTACTACATCCATGCTTCTCTTCTTTCACCTCCTTTCCCATAGTAATTAATTTATATATAATTTAGACAGGTCGTAGGAATAATTTTAGCCCCTGTAGGCTGAAGTTTGCCTACAGTGCAGAGGACTATCACAAGGCCCACTGCACCAGGGGTTCTCAAAGGATCTTCCAGGAAGTCTATCAATTCACCTAGATATTTGCCTTGTTTTACAAAAGGCTATATAAAAAGCACTAGCAAAGTTAGTACAAACTAAGATTTCACATAGACAATGACTTGTTTATACTGCTCTATGTACTATATCAGGGTTTCTCAAACTGGGTCACAACCACAAAGTGGGTCGCGAGTTCATTTTTATGGGGTCACCAAGGCCAGAGTTAGACGTGCTGGGGCCCAGGGCAGAAAGCTGAAGCCCGAGCCGTGCCATCCGGGCTGAAGCCAAAGCCCGAGCAACTTAGCTTTGCAGGGCTCCCTGTGGCGTGGCGCTCTGGGGAACTGCCCTGCTTGTCACTCCCTAATGCTGGCCCAGAGAGTAGGAACAGACTCAACGTGGAGAAAAACTTAATTGTTGCTGTCACTTCATTGCCTCCCAGCATGGCAGGGCTCACAAGTGAAAAACTGGCTCAAGTATCATACTGAAATGTAAGTACAATATTTATATTTATTTATTATATTGTAAAAAATGAGAAAATAAGCAACTTTTCAGTAATAATGTGCTGTGACACTTTTGTATTTTTATGTCTGATTTTGTAAGCAAGTACCATAGTTTTTAAGTGAGCTGAAAGGGATACAGTAGGATGAGAACCACTGCAGTGCATGACATAAATTCTGCACAGGAGCAAAGACACCACAGAGGGGGCTGTGCACAGGGATGACAGCCATGGAGAGGGTCTCTGTGCCAATTCCACAGGCTGGTACAGAATGCTATGACATTGGTAGGCCAGGAATGGTGCCCCAGGATTGACACTTATAAACAATCTCAGCACTGAACACCATGAGCACAAAGTGGCTGTGACTAACTATTCGAGGCCATAGGAACAATAACCACAAAGACTGCAATAGCATCACTCACTAGCTGCAAATTATGGATTTCACCTTCTTAAACCTTACTGCACTCCACTTGCATAGAGCCCCTTTATTTGGATTTTATGCCAGTGGAGGGATTCTACCATCAGTGAAATTAAAAAGACACCCAAAAAGAGTAGGTATTGTCCTGTTTATGAGGAATCCTCATGGTCAAACTATTAAAACTTGCACTTATTTAGAATGTTGCATTGTGCTCTAGTTTTTAAACTTGATTAAGCAGTATAGCTGTGGTTAAAAGTCTCCAACTATCTCTATTATCAACCAATTTATGTGGTTTATAATTTGACCATAGTGCATTTCATCAAACTGAACATCAGTAGACAACTTAGCTTCCAAAAGAGGCCAGTATATTTTTAAGGAAATGTAAAAAATAAATCAATTAAGCCTCTAGCTATAGTGCATAAAGTAGGTTCCCCAGTCCACACACAATGTAGATCTTTTTTCACTGCTGTACAGAAAAAATATTCCCCCAAAACAAATAAAAACAAAGTAAAAACCCCAAATCCGATCTAAGAAACAACATCATTACTTATTTTAGTATTAATTTAGGGCCCAATCCTGAAATCCTTACTTAGGCAAAATTCCCCTTGAAAGCAATGGGAGTTTTGCCTACACAAATCTTGAATGGAGAATTTATAACAAGGGACAAGCATGCTCAATTGTCCTTCAGTTCCTTTGCCAATATAGAATCCAGATGGCATAGGACTCCACAGTAGTAAGGAAAGAATCGTGGAATCCATGTGGACAATGCTTCTTGAAGAATCACAGTTACTTTATGAGGCCCACATCCAAAAGCCTGAGGCATACTCTCACAGATGTTTCTGGATAAGCATGTAAGCTGCTGATGAAACCTACCATGGTCTTGAATCTTTCCTGTGGTAGATAAGCCCTTGCTGGTGTGGAATTTAGCACTGCCCCATGAACTGTTCTCTGCGTTGGCAACAGTGTGATCCTGAGACTCAGAGTAGAGGAAAGATGTGGAATTAGGTGAACTGAATAGTTCACCTTTTGTGGTGATTTTCCTCAAATGAGTTAACTGTTAATGAACAGATATTCCTGGATCCCTTGTCTCCTTCTGTGAGTCACCACAACTGCCAATCACTTGGTGAATACCTTTGGTGCTGATGAAAGACAAAGAGCAGAACTCTATACTGGTAGATGCTCCCACTTGGAATCTCAGGTATTTTCTGTGTGTCAGTTGAGCTGATATGTAAAGTAAGTGTCTTGTAAAATAGTGAGCCAGGAAGCAGGCCTAGGGATTTGGGAATTTAAGAATTGGATTATAGAGGCCAACCTTACCATCCTGCATTTGACACGACAGATGAACCTGTTGCAGGGTGGATTGATTTAAATCAGTGATTTAAATAACCAATTTTAATTATGGCTTAAATCAGCAAGCAGGAAACCTTGATATAAATAATCAATTTTAATCTTGTTTTGCATTTGTACTTTTTAGTTATTTCCTACAGAAAGGTTGATTCTCACTGGTTGATAACCTTTAAAACATGTTGATTTGCAACTCATTTATGCTAAATTTGGTACTTCTTTTTGTTAAAGCATATCTACCTATACTATATATTTACGTAATTAGATGACAATTTACATTTATTCACTTTCTTAATTTTTACATTTCTATTACATTAGAAAATGGTCAGTGATGCTTTTGTCATTTGCTAATGTTCATTTATTTTTCTTGTGATTTGTGTCAAGATCTCTTTTTATGGGCCTTAGC